TTTTCACATAAAAAGAAAACAAAATTAGATATCGCTTCTCCACCTTTTGGCTAAGATCAAGTATAAAAAGAAAACAAAATTAGAAAATAATTCAGATTGTCTATGGGTTTAGAGATGTGGGCAGTCTCTCAGAATTCCCCAAATGTAGGCAAAATAAAGCTATAAAGCTTCTTAATCCATTTGTATGTAATCTGGGGCCCTTTATTATCTGATTTTCAGATTTGAGTCCCTTATGTGTCTTGGTAGTTTATATTTCCAACTAGTATAATTTATTACTTTCCACATCTCAAGTGCTTTCTTTCTGGACTGCATCAGGTTACTCATCAAAATTAAATCTCTTCTTGTGGTCCCTAAACCAGGAAGGAGGAAATCACCACTTACAGAATCTAGTGGGGTTTTGAAACAAAGGAAAACTGTCTACTCCGAACCTGTTGGGTGAGCTTTGTATGAACGTTCTTTTCTCCAACTGAAGGGGATGGACCTGGAAAGCACCACTGGCACCATCTTCTACACAGTGAGAAATAAAAGCAAAATGGGCAAGAGGAGAGAGTGGATAAAAATTACACGCCCAGCCAGAAAAGCAAGACCTTGAAAGCATACACTAAGGAGACCCAAAGAAAATTGATACAGGTATTAGAGAGCCAAGGTTAATGGGGAGAATGAAAATGGCACTTTTTTTCTGAGCTTGACTTACTTAGACTTTAGCAATAAGGCAGAGTGGCCTCACTCAAGAATAATTGTACTAACAGGATTTTATTACTAAGTACATCATATGTGTTATTTTTGTAATATTCACAATAACCCTATATTTGTGTATTATTTATTCCCATTTAACAGATGAGGAAATAGACTCAGGTTAAGTAACGTGCAAAGGGTCACCCAGCAAGTAGGAGACAGAGTTAGGATTTGAACCTAAGCAGAGTCCAGAGACTCTGGGTCTCCTCCAAGTTTTTCTCATGTGTCTGTAATTCTCACAGACTTGGTGTTTAGCACATTTCCCTGCGTTCTCCCTCCCTCTCCTGCCTGAGAAGGATTAGAAGGCTGGAGAAGAGGATCTTGAGACAGTGGGGGAGAGGACAACATATAATCCAGTAGAAGAACTAACCCTTCCTCCTGTCAAGGCCTCAGTTTTCTCATTGGTAAAATGAGGGAATTTGTTTCCACAGCCCCTTCTGTCTGGTGTATTATTGTAAGAAGCACAGCATATATGGAATAGATGGAGAACTTTCTCTGGGAAATGTGACCATTTGTGCCAGGAAAGAACACTTGAGATGCAGCTAAACTTCAAGAGAACTTGCACTTGCCCAAACAAACAAAAAGTCTCAGTTGCAAGATTCTCATCAACTGGGAGAAGGTCCTTAACTTTAAATTAAGGGCTTACTGCAGAAAGAGCCTAGAATTGAATGTCGTGGGGATGGTGAGAGGTACCATCAGACTCCTATCCCCCACCCCCCAAAATGAGAGGAAATGCTTCCTGTGCTCTTTGCTCTCTTGACAGTTTCCTCTTACTTGGTTTCCTCATGACTTTTAGGTAAGTTTCAACTGTTGACCCTTTATTGTGAAACAGGTCATGTGGTGGGAGTTGGAAACATTTTTTCAAAGAAACAAAGCCTCCTGTGGTTTGCTTGAGAGAAAAACATCAAATTCAATGCATACCTCTTGAAAATATGTTATCCATCCATTCAACAGATATTTACAGAGCACTTTCTATATCGCAAGCAATTTTCTAGTTGCTTAGGAAATGTTAATGAATAATATGAATAGAAATGCCTACACATAGGAATGTTTTAGGTTGATAAATGTTATGTTTTTAAAAAGTAAAGAAGGCAGGGGAATCAGGGTGTCCGGAGCGTGAGGAGATGAGCAGATTATAGCATTAGGGAGTCCAGGGAAGCATCCTTGAAAGGTCAAAATTGAGCAAAGAATTAAGGGTTATAGGAATTAACTAAGTGGTTATGTGGGTGAATATTTCAAGCAAAGTGACAGCCTGAGGTAATAGTTTGAATTGGGAACTGGGTTGTTATTTGAGGAACAGTAGGAGGCCACGTACCTGGGTGGGACGGGGTCCGGAGAATGAATAGGAAAGGAGAACAGAGAGTAATGGGCTAGACACTTGACGAAGTGTCTAAATAAACTAACATTAAAACGTTACTTGGGTATGGGACAATTGTTGCTTAATTAAGCACTTCCAAGTCCTGAGTGGAGCTTCTCAATCAGACCGCACAGTTGCCTGAAGTGGTGGTTATTGCTGGTGGTGCAAAGAAGACAGAGGCAGGAAGGGAGGGTAGAGGGTGAGGGGTATATAATAGATTAATATTTCTTGTATTCCAGTCACTGTATTAGGTTCTTTTTAAAAATAATAATTGTATGTGCTTAAAGTAGCATGATAATTTCATATACATGTAAGTGAAATGATTATTATAGTTAAGCCCTTTAACATATAATTTTCTCTCAGAGTTACCATTTTTTGTGTGATGAGAGAACCTGAAATCTCTTAGCAAATTTCCAGTATTCAAATATGGTATGATCAATTATAGTCATCATGCTATATATTAGATCTCTGCTTTTCTATTCACAAAAACTCATGAAGCTGGTCTTTGATGTGATCACTGAATAAGGTCACATTCTCAGTCAGAGAGCTATTGGTAGGATTGAAAGCAGAGATACTAAATATTCAGCCTGAAACTTTTTATCCTAGCTTGGACACGGAGCCTGAATGCACTATGAAGTGTCTTTCTTTTATTCTACTGCATAAAATCTTTTCTCCAGTGTTATCATAATAATAAAAGGTTAAGAAGCATCACGACCAAACGACCAGTCACCATGAGGTGCATGGAGCACCTCTCAGGCCCAGCGCCCAGCCTGGCGCCTCCTCGCAGCAGGGGGAGGTGGCAGGCGGGGTGCCTCCTCCCGTGATTTCAATTGCGCGCTGGGCCTCTAGTTGATATATAATTGACATACATCACTGTATAAGTCTCAGGTATACAGCATAATGTTTTGGCTTATATGTAGTGAGAACTATTTTTAGTAACAAGAATTTATTGCAATACATTGCAATGTATTTGTACAATCTTATAAGTATAATTTACTAAATATAGGCAGTTGATTTATTTTTAAGTCTTATACTCCTATTTTGATAGTTTCTCTTCTTCTTCCTCCTCCTCCTTTTTCTTTCTTCTCACCTCCTTTCTTCAATATACTGATATTCTTAAAAGAAACAGAGAGAGAAAAAGAGAGAAAGGGAGAGAGAGAGGCTCGGGCTCACCTTGATCTTTGCAGGGCTTTGTGGAGGAACCCTACAGCATAGGAAAGCACTACCTCCATTCATAAATATATCATGGTGAAAGAAAAAGAAATTTTGAGAAAATAAGATATTTTATCTTTTCTGTGATAAGTGTTCTAGATGTGGGTCTTAAGCTCTGCATAGATTCCATCCTGGATGCTTTCGGAGTCTTGCAGCTTGGGAAGGGAATGTGTAGTGAGCTCTATGGGTCGCCCTTAATCATATCTAGGTGTAGAAAGGTTTCTAAGTGCAAAAGGCTAATAAAAGAAAGCCTTGTGATATCCAGTGTGTCCCAATACAAAGCCCCACCTTGTGGTCAGAGGGTAGCATCACCACACTCCAGTCTGCAAACTTGCCTAAAAGGTGGGGCTGGGAGAGTTTCAGGAAGTGCAGCCAGGGTTTTAGGCTTCACGGGGTCTGTCCCTTGGCTTTTTTCATTCCTTAGGAACTGTGTCAGTTCACTTGCTCATTTCCTGTGCGGTGTGTGTGTGTGTGTGTGTGTGTGTGTGTGTGTGTGTGTGTGTGTTGAGGATTGGGGGCAGTCTGTCCCTCTAATCATTTGTTTAGAATGGGGAGAAGTGAAAGGAAGGAAAAGGAAGGATGAGAAAGTAGATGAGAAAGAAAGAAATGAGGGAGGATTGTAGGACACCTGTTTTTCTCTTCAAAAAGCAGGCATTTCCTTAATGCCACGGATCATTAAAATGATCACATCAAAATATCTTTGGAATATAGCAATATGATGTATGATGGTACATTGCACATCGTACATAGCTTTTTAAAAAAATGTGGTAAAAAATATGATATAAAATTTAGGATCATAACCATTCTTTATTTTTTTTACACATTGACATCCTTTATTGGTAGTATGTAGCCATTATGCCAAAATTCAGCCATCAATTACAACTTCATTTCCTATCCACAATTACTGAGAATATATTTTACTTCAGATGGGACATATAGGCAGAGTGCCAAAAGTTAAAGTATAACCTTGAAGTCTTTTTTTTAAAAAATATATTTCATTGATTTTTTACAGAGAGGAAGGGACAGAGATAGAGAGTTAGAAACATCGATGAGAGAGAAACATCGATCAGCTGCCTCCTGCACATCTCCCACTGGGGATGTGCCCGCAACCCAGATACATGCCCTTGACCGGAATCAAACCTGGGACCTTTCAGTCCGCAGGTCGACGCTCTATCCACTGAGCCAAACCGGTTTCGGCTAACCTTGAAGTCTTAAATTCACACTTCAAATATCAAAAGAAGCAATTCCCAAAAATCATGAAAACATGATGAAATAACACATAAAAAAATACATTTAAGTCATGTCAATTTTTCTTGTTTATAGTGAAACACATGTATTTATAACTTCAGACTTCAAAAAGCATACTTCATAAAGTCATTATTCATTTAAAATAGACAAATATTTACAAAGAACATTGAACTTACATTTCAAGGGTTGTTTATAAAATAGTACTTGAAAGGTTGACCTATATAAGGAAACAAGAGTCCTGTCAAGAGAGATGGTAAACTATAAATATAAAATATACCACAGTGTTGAAAACCTCACAGTATGCTATAGGAAAATTACTAAAGATAACTTCATCTTTCTGGGGTAAAATATATTTAGCATTACAAATTAAAATGTAAATTTTATATATGAATTCAATAAGAAATACATTTAAATCTTGCATTGTCACATAATTACCATCTGTTTTGTGTTAAACAATAAAAATGATGTACTTTTTGAACATGTGTACATCAAAACCAAAAGGTTATTTTTTACTTTTTCCTTTACTGGCAACTTTGGATTCATTTTTAGGTTTTGGTACCCAGAAGGCATTTTTCACAAATCTTGAAGCTGCACCTTGGTCTAGCTTGGCAGTCTTCTTCTCAGTTATTTCCTTGACTCTGATCATGTATACTCTGATTCTTTCCAATTCCTGCTTTACTGGGTGTTCCTTAGGATCAACTCCCTGAGTTGCCAAATAAACCCAAAACATTGAATTTAATGTGTAAGCAGAAACTAAATCCACTTTTGCTTGTTCAAGTGGGTCCAACTTCTGTAACAACTCATTTCCCGAAACAGACATCATGGTCTTCAGCATGTCATCCACAGCACCAATGGAATTCTCAAATGTTGATAAATACTCATGGATTTCTGCTGGATAGTCTTCATTCATTTCTTCTTCTGCCATTATGACCAACTCACTGGCCTTCCACTCTGTCTGGAAAGCAATCCACCATAACCATTCTTAAGTGTGCGGTTCATTCAGTGACATTAAGTGCATTCTCATTGTGGTGCAACCATCAACATTCATATTCAGAACTCTCAGTACTGACTTTTTAATAAAAATGATCTTGTTTTAAAGCAAGGCCCCGACACTCAGTAGAATCACTGGTGTCTGAGGCCTCAGTTTCTCTCCTCTGTAAATGGTATATTAAAAACAACAACAATCTGATAGGGTTGTTGTGAGATTAAATAATAATGTTGTAAAGTGCTTATCATAGTGACAAGTGACAGTATTCATTATTGTTATTATGGTTTCCTGAATATCTAGCCACTTGTTACTTCATGAATGACATGATCCCAAACCTTTCTGTCATCAGTAGTGACACTCCCAGATCCCTGATAAGCATAACCCAATCGCCCATAGATTCCCATCATCATCATCATCATCATCATCATCATCATCATCATAGAACTGTCATTTCCTATAGCAAAGAAATGGGTCCAGAAAAAAAAAGTAGCTGCCAAGGCAATGAAAGAATGGTCTTTAGCACCCCTCTTTTGCAACACAAATGATCAACTTATTTCAACAACTATAGAGCACCAAGAGCTCTGGATCCATGAGGCAGGGCCTGGGGTGGGTCAGGATCTGGGCAGCCCATCCTTGGCATAGCTTTAGCAGCATAGCCTCTATCCAAGAAGTCAGACTCAAAGACTACAACTTCCCTGTGTGCACATCGCCTTCTTGTGACTTTTGTAGATCTGGCTAAACCAGTGGAATGGACAGTCCAGGAGGACACAATCTCCTTACTCCCCTAACTGGCTCCACTCATGTCCAATTCTCCCCCATCTCCCCCTGCCACCCCTTGCTTCCTCACAATATATCTGAGCTCCATCTCATAGTCTGTCAGGCCTGCTGCGTAGGTAATTTTTTAAGGTGGGTTAAGTTTAAAAGGCTCCAGTAGGTACTCTAATTTACCTGTATTTCTAGAACCATTCTGACTTCCCATACATTATCCCATTCAGTTTTCAAATAGGACTCTTTCTCCTCTCCTCCCACTTTTCTTCCTTTCTTTCCCTCCCCCTTTTCTTCTTTCCTTCCTTTCTTCCCTAAAAGTTATAGTTCCTCATTATAAATATGATTCACTTTTAGTGTAGAAAATTTGGGAAATAAGAAAACAAAAATTATCTGTGATCTCATCACCCAGAGATAAAGACATTTCTACATATCTTCCAATATTGTACATGTATTTATGAACATATATTTCAAAAATTGGGTCATACTGTGCATACAATTTTGAGTTCTGTTTATTTCTCTTTCCACTCTCTTGTCAGCTTTTCTTATCACACCTACAAATAATAAGCTTTAGCATTTGTGACATATTATAATACTAGAGGCCTGATGCATAAAATTCATGCAACGGGTAGGGTCCCTAGGCCTGGCCAGCGATCAGGGCTGATCTGTGGGCCTGCTGGGACCCACCTTGGCCAGCTTGGCACTGCCCACTCACTGGCCGGCCCTGCCCCCAATTGCCCTGCCTCCACTGACGGTCACCTCCCTCTCTGGGGCATCTGGTGGGGTGATTGGAGGGCCCCCACTGGCACCACTGGCACCCATCTTGGCTGGCCTGGGGCTGTGCAGGCTGGGGGCAGCTCCTGTGATGAGTGTCTGCCTCCTGGTGGTCAGTACACATCATAGCAACTGGTCATTCCACCAGTTGTTCCACCATTTGTTCAATTTGCATATTAGGCTTTTATCATATAGGATGTGGTTTTACCAAGTAACTTTTTGTAGCATCTCCCCTATTTGGGACCATTCCCCATTTCCTAGCCCCACCACACTAGGCTAAGCTCTCCTTTCTCTGGTCTGGATCATCGTAGAAATCTAGTAACTGGTTCAGCTTCAAGCTTCATTCCTCCACCATCCACTCATTTAGGCCAAGTGAACTTTTTAAAATGCTAATCTAGCCATGCAATTTAATTTCAATGTCTACAGGACACCATGGTCTTCAAGACACAGTTTAGGTCCCTCGTCATTATAGAAGTCCTGCTTCACTGGGCCCCTTCTGATCTCTACAGACTCCTTTCTGGATCTGTCTGTCTCCTTTTCCACCCTCAGCTTCAGTCTTTCCATTCTTGGTTCTTTGAGCTTACTGTACTCTCTGGAATACTCTGCTTCCACTGCTCCCTATTCCCTTCTTTTGTTTTTTTTTCTCAACAAACTCCTTATCTTTACAAAGTCCAGGCAACAATATCCTCTGCCCTCAACCTGCCACCATCTGGGTTCAGGTCTCCCAATCTGTTCTCCCCTTATTCTGTGAGCCTACTTTGAGCCTAGTGGGTATATCAGAATCACCTAGAAGGCTTGTTGAAACACAAATTATAAGAATCTACCTGCAGAGTTTCTGTTTCAGAAGGGATGGGGCAGGAATTTGCATTTCTAGAAGTTAATAGGTGAAAATGATGTTGCTTGTTCAGGAAATAGATGTTAAGTCCCACTGCTGTAGCCTAATATACTGTATTATTAGTGATTTTATTTTTCTCCCCTCCTGACAGTAATTTCCATGAAATAGGGTCTGAACTGAACCCCAAGATTCTGGTCCATGGTAAGCAAATAATACATCTCCTGAATAGAGGAAGTCTTCCATGTGTCCTCATGGCCCAGCAACCAAGTGGTAACAGTGACCGTAAAAGCCCACTTCCTCTGTGGACTCCTCTGTGATAGATTCCTGAACCATGATGCAATAACAATTCCTACGCAATGTCATTGCTGACACTCTCCAGGAGTCATGGGTCTGAGTCCCTTGACCATACGTGGAATTTCCAGAAGATTTTGGAAATTTCCTCCTAAAGTCCCTTTCCTCAATAAATTTCCCATGGCCGATGCGTCAAAGAATAAAAATAATAAGGTATTGTTTTCCTGTAGCTAAATCATCTATTGTATAAACATCTCTCATTAACTTTGCTATTAGGAACCACACAAAAAAAATATATAGGAAACTACATGAGGTTTATCTTAAAATTTTGGTTAAAATTTTTTGCATATGATAATTATTTGCATTTTTGGTAGCAGGTGAGGATCTCCGTGTCAAGGAAAATATACTGTCATGGGAAATAAGAGCCCCCTTTAATGTGACCTAATGAAAGCTTTGCATGGGACAAATTCTGTTCTACTACCCCACTAACCACATCTGCCTCCATACAGATGGCATGTTGAATCTAAACCTAAACTGACAAAACTCAGGAAAATGAGTATTTTTGAACTTCCCATAAGCATATGAAGGCAGGAACCAAAGTGGTGCTTCCCTAAAGTGTTCTGGTTTCAGTTTTACATGTTAGGCTTATAGATGTTAAGACAGTCTTTTAAAATGTGCTAATAATTTGTAAATTATACATTTCTATTAAAAGTGCTAATGATTTCTATTGGAGTAGAAGATAAATTAACTCTTGTTTGTTCTATGTTTTCAAAGACAATCATGACAGGAATTTCATTTTCATTAGGCAAGCGTGGACCAGACAGAATGGGAAGTTAACTTTACTTCCCAGTACTGAAGCAGATGGAGCAAGGCTGGAGAAGTGATCCAATTCCCCCAGGTTTATCCCATTTCTCATAATTTCTTTGCAATTGTTGACCAACTCTGTGTTTTTTTTTCTTTTCTCGTTAACCGATAATCATCAGGGCATAAATTATTTAGTGCACAAACTCAGATGTAGGGAGCTGAACTCAAAAATGACAATTCAGAGTTACGTACCACATGGATAATCAACAATTAGCTAGAAGACTTATAGATATTTAATAAGCAAAAAATAAAGATGGCCAACACTAACACATTTCAACTAATTTCCATCTATAAATATTAAGAAGAATGGGGATGAAGCAGGTCTTTCCCCCCCCTCTCTCTCCTAAAACAGAAGGAGGACAAGATTTACCTTGAATAATTCAAGTGGCTCTTTCTTGAGTTCTAATCTCTTACTTAAGCATGTGTTGTAATTCAAAACCAATAAGTAAAAACTCAGGAGTTCTTTCTTGTCACTCTAGCTGAAGGGGATATCCTAAGTCTCATCAGCATTAGTCAACCTGAGCTGGAATTCAGAGAACCTAAAAAGCTGTACATAGAAACACACACATATACAAAATGTTGTGTAGTGAGAGGTGGCTAAAATTACAGAATGATAAAAATAATGATTCATTTGGCTCATTTAAAATTTAAAAATGTTTTTCTAAATAAAGTGACAACACTATTTATTTGAAATGTTAATGATTTGATCTTATATATTAATTTGCCAGAATACACAAGTAATAGAAATTATCAAGAACTCACCTAAGGTATAATTATGGCAGTGTTTTCTTTATCTTTCACTATGTTTTTAAAAGGGATTCTGTGATTACTTTTACTCACTAATGTGTCTCTTTCTTTTATCAATCTTACCTAATAATAGACAAACATGTAAATTGACCAACCCTCCACTACACTCACCAGCCAATCAGGAGAGTATTCAAATTAACCCAACAAAGATGGCGGTTAATTTGCATACGTACACATGAAGCGGCAGAGCGAAGACTGAAGGCTCTGGCCGAAGCAAAGGCCTGGCTCCCGGGTGCCAGAGGAAAACCGGTGCCGGCAGCCAGGGTAAGGGAAGGCCTATTGCATGAATCTCTTCATGCAATGGGCCTCTAGTTGAATTAATATTTATTAAATGGCAATAAATGCCAGGCATGGTGTTAACTACAAGTGAATTTTTGTTAACATTTATTAATGCTGCCCACTAAAATTTTTAATAAGACATGTCTAAACACTGAGTTGAAGATATTTGTGATATCAATATTATTTTAAACACAACCTCAAAAAATACCTTGAAGTATAATATATTAGTTCAGCCTGGAAGTTATAACAAATTATAATATACTAGAGGCCTGATGCACAAAATTTGTGCAAGGGGCTCATCCCTCACAGCCCCAGCTTTGTCCAGAAGGTCGTCTGGAAGGATGTTCAGCTGTCCA